ACAGCAAAGGACAACATGACCTGAAATTATTCTGTAGGTCAAGAAAATGGTGCCAGAAGGGAATGATTAGATATTCCAGATACAAAACAACTACTTGAAAGTACTTCTGTTAATATTGGAGGAATTTCCTTCACACATTTATAACCAAGCTGCTGATGCAGCTATTTTGGCACAACCTCTATACTATATTTTTATTTGGATTTTTTTAATTTTATTAGGATCCAGTTCACTAAGTGAATTGCATCAGGCTCGCTCAGAATTACCATCCTATACAGATTTAGACTGCTGGACTTTCAAATACGTTATTTGTAGTGATCTCTCTTTCCCTCTATTCCAGCTCTGATCAAGGCCATGGCTCCAATACTCTTCCTTTAGTGCTGGGCCCCGTTGCTGCCCTGCTCCTGATCATTGTGACAGCTTTTGCCATCGTTAAATACAGGCAGATGAAGAGATCTGGTGAGTTCCTACCTTTCCTGTCTCTCAAGAAACATCAGCAATATTAAGATGAAGGCAACACCTTTGTGCCTTTGCTGGACTGAGCTGCTCTCCTGGTTACCCACCATGTGATGGGCAGGGAAGGGACCTTGCTGGTCCCACTGACCCCATCCTTGGAGCTCCAACACCCAGAACAGTGCCCAGCTGAGACAGAGCCCACCCCTGTGTGTGCTTTGCACCTTGTATCCCACAGCATTGCCTCACACAGAGGGCTCAGGTGCCAACGTGCTCACACCAGCTCTAAAAAGAGGATTGATTTATTTCCCCCTCTCTTACCAGACCTGGTGTCCATCGGGAGCTACAGGACGAACATCAGCATGTCAGACTTTGAGAGTGTGAAGGATTACAGTGCCAGCAACAGCGCCTGTGTGAAGGAGAGCCAGGAGACTGCCATTGGAGGGGACGGTAGGGTGCTGGCTCCAACCCCCCCCGGGGTCAGGGGTCTGCAGAAGGACCCCACAAAAGCCACAGAAATGCCTGCCCACCACTACCCCCCTCCCTAACACCTCCCTTTGCCTCCCTGCAGAGTTCATCACCACCAAGGACACCCCAGAAAGTGCCGCCGAGGTGAAGAAGGCAAAAAGGGTAAGAGGAGGCAGGAGAGAGGCCACTGACCTGGGAGACACAACCACAGCCCTCCAGTCTCTGCCAAAGGGGCTGCCTTCCTCCAGGGGCCTTATTTATACCCAGGTGCTCTCCATCTTACTTGGATCCAGCACCTGCTGCAGATCAACCTCTGTGGGAAGGACCTTACCCCTTTCCTGACTCCATGTTCTAGTGGAGACAGTAACAGCAGTCACCTTGCTTCAAACAGTAAACCAGGTCAGCCCCAGTTTGCATCAGGAAAGTTGGGGTTGTTACCATAGAGATGAAACACTGGGACAAGCAGTTGGCCAGAAAACAGAGCACATCCCACCTTCCACCCCTCCCACACGTGGGCAGTGGTTCAGGGGGTGCAGATAGGCAGGGAGGGCTCTGCCATTGCAAGGGCTGTGACTTGTTCCTGCAATTCCCGCCTTTCCCTGCCTCTACTTTTCCCTGCCATCTACTCCCCCACCCCTCCTTTTGGGGAAGATCATGGTCAAGTGGCAGCACTGGGCAGTAGCTGAAGGTGCCAGGTGCAAACCTGTGTTTTTCCAAGTCCTACCCACAGGTGAGATGTGGGTGTTGTAAGTGTCAAGAGCTGGACTGGAGCAATAATGGAAACAGGAAACCAGTAAAGCCTGGCAGCTTTAGGACAGGGAGCTGGATGCCAACACACAGGGACAGGCTTGCCATGGAGTCCCAAACCCACAAACATTTGGGGCCTTCCCAGGGCTGAGCAGAGGAGTGATGCTCACACCAGCACCGACCCTCTGGATCCTCCCACTCATCCACTCTGCCCGTGTCATGTTGAGACCCTCACAGCCCACAAAATGCTGCCTTTCCCCTGCCACGTGCTGCTGGCCATCCCCAGCCACCTAACTGTGTCCTCCTGTCCTTCCCCAGAGCTCCAAGGAGGATGCTGACCTCGCCTACTCCACCTTCCTCCTCACCTCCGGCAGCATCGCTCAGGGTGGCCCCGGGGGGGACAGCACAGCCCTGGACGTGTCCCCCTCCCAAGAGCAGGTCTGAGGGTCAGGGATTGAGAGGAGGCAGCGACTGGGACCGGCTCTACCCTGAGGATCACACCAAGCCATCAGCAAGCACACACACTGTTCATTGCTACCACGATTTGCTATAGCTTGACCTTTTTTTTTTTTTTTTTTTCTTGCTTAAATTCAGCTTCAAGCGGTGATTTAGGAGGAATTGTTTGATGCCAAATGGGGCTGGGCTGGAAGTGCAGGGTCTGAGTGAGCAGGCTGGACTGGGAGACCAAGTGGCTCATCCCACCAACAGTTCCAACAGGCTCTCACAGGGCAGAAGGCACATTTTAAAAAAGTCCCATTTTCTTTCAAAGGCAGCTGGAAAACCCTTTAGAACAGCATCTGATGCTTTTGATTCCTCTAAGCTTTCTTGACCTGAGGGCAGCACCTGCAGACCAGACATGGTCTGAAGTGTTTTCATGCACAAGCAATAAAGAATATCAGTGGCTTTCAGCAGACCAGGGAACTCAATCCGTGGGAGAGCACGGGGAGATCACACCCAGACAGACACAGTAAGGGTGGGACAAGCTGAATATTCCCCAGATAAAGCAATATAGGAAGCAGCAGTGATGAAGAAGTGATGAAGCAGAGAAGCAATTTTCCCTGAGCACCAGGAATGGGATAGGCTGGTACCTTACCTGACGAAGAGAAGGGCTGTGGAGGGGTTTGAAAGGGACAGGGTAGAAACTGCACAGGAATTCAAATTCCTGACCTTGTGCTGCTGAAGTGCAGCTCTGAGACCAAGCCATAAAATATAAAGACTGGGAAGCATCACCCTGGGTAGGGTCTGATGTGACTGTGTTATGATAACGCCACAAAATATTTCTGGTTTAGTAAAGTATTAGCTGCCTTTAAAAAATGAAAACAGTGTCATGGCTCAGGGAGGTGCTGGAAAATGGCTGTTACCTGAGAGACACTGAGCTTCACCAAGGATAAAACACAAATTATTCCTGAATCATGGACTTCCCCAGAGGGCAGCAGCCCCAACAGCATTTGTGTTTTCACATCTCCAGTGCAATAGTCATCACCTTGCCCATAGCAAGGCTGGGACCTCAAAGGTCAGGTTACAGCTCGCCTACCTCCTCTCCAGGGCTCCATCCCCTCATCAGCACAGTGGGAAGGGGCTTGGATACTGGAAAAGGTGTGGAGGGGCCAGGACAGGTCTGTGCCTGCCCAGAGTTGCTGGAAGTGAATGACTGACTCTGCTGGAAAGTGTCCCCGGGGTGAGCAGTCACAGAGCAGCAGGAGAACGCTGAGGTTTGGAAATTTCTGAGAGGAGAAAAATCCCTTTTGCTCTCCCTTTGTGAATCCACTTCCTCTTCAGCCTGCCCAAAGGCGTCCTTCCCTCAGCTCCCACACCTCCCTGGGAGCAGCTGGGATGAGCTCCTGGGAGAGGAGCAGGGGCTGAGAAAGGGTTGAGCATCCTGGCTCTGCCTGCACCCCTCAGCCCTGGCAGCTGCCTGCCTGAGACCCCTGCTCCTTCCCACTCCTGATGCTTCCAGCTGGCACCTCAGTTCCAAAGGGGAATGGCCCTGGGCTGCTGCTGCTGTGCTTTGCAATGTAAAATCCCTGGTTTTGATGGAAGCAGCAAAGCAGGTGTGGGCTGGGGCATGCAGCACTCTGCACAGGCTGTGAGCACTGAATAGGATCAATAGTGAGGACTGTGACAGCATAAGCTGACGATGTGGAATAAAACCCACACATCTCACTCAAGCTGTGATCCAGAGCACACCACAATCCATGGAAAAGTCCACAGGGAGCTCACCTGACTCTTCACCAGTGTGTCAGCTGATTTTCAGGGGTCAGTGGTGAGCTGTGGTATCTCACTGCATCACAGCATCATTCCCAGTGGTTATTCTTTAACAGGGAATCATGGTATGGGCTGTACCTGTGGGGTCTTAAAAGGGTTGGTTTCAAGAGTGATGGAGCTGAAATACCACCTTTCAGAGCCTGGAGGGATGTATTCACCCTGACACCTGGACAAATGAGAGTCACTGAAAAAAAAAACAAACACAAGAAAGCAAATTACAAGAATCAAAGCCCTGAGAGGCTTCCCCTTGGCCTAAAGAAATAGCTGAGGGAGGACAGTGAGCAATCAGGGAGACCTTTCCTTTGAAAAAGTGAATCACCAAATCTGGTTTGATGGCAGAAGTCTGACCAGGGTTCTTCTGTGATGGAGATTAAACCAAAGTAGGAACTCAGTTGTCCTTGGGGACACAAGGACCTTATTCTATGGGAACAAAATCCTGCCAAAGAACCTCTTCTGCAGTTGAAGCATTCCTGGTGTCACCTCTGTAGCACCATTAGTAGTTGGTTGCCCAAGCTGGGAACAGCCAGCCCTTCATCCATCCTGGCTGCTGAGGCCTGGCCATACCCACGGGCTGGAAAGGGAGACCTGGAGAGTTTTGGGCTGTCCCATGGGAACAGAGATGCTGGGAAGAGGCTTGTGCAAGCCTGAAGGATTCACACCAGAAGCAATGAGAGCTGCTCAGAGCCAGGGGAGAGCACAGAGCCCCCTGGTTGTGCCCATGCCACCATGGCAGGCAGGACTTGTGGGACACCTTGCTTAGCTTAGTTGACTTTTAGAGCAAAACACACCAAATCAGAGCTTTACCCTCTAGTCTTACTCAAGTCTTATGTCTGATGGATGCAGCAGGAAGACTTGATCACTTGAAATACTAAGACTAAGCTGCTACCAGGGACACAAACACCCAACTGCTCAGTGAGTTCAGAAAGTTTTACCAGCAAGAATCATATAATTCCTCAGAATTCTGACAGACTCAGCACAGTTTCGAGTGGGGTTTATTTACAGTCATTGCAACCAATTTCCACAAAACTCACTACTGAGTGTCAGTAAATTGCACAACACACACAGGAGCATTTTTCTATTCAGCAACCACATATCTTGCACAGAAACTTTTTTACTGATAAGGCAGAAAATATCATCTCAAAAGGAAAGACAGACCTCTAAGGTCTCACACACCTTCTAGGACCTATTCTTGGAAGCATTTCTCACACTGTGCACCTTGTTTGAGCCAGGTCCATCAGTGGCAGCAGCCCTGTGAGACTGAGTCCAGGTTTAAGCTGCACCAGAGTCCTTCCAGCACTCATGAATACACATTTCCTATCTGAATATACATTCCCTACACAGAAAATTTATAACTTAAACAACAATTTTATTACATGGTCACAGCTTATGTCTGCCAGCAAGAGAAACCCTTTGAGCTCTTTCCCTTGGAGCATCCTTTGATAGAAGCCAACAAAGCGAGGGCAGCGCTGATTTAATCAAACTCGTTATTTCCATCTTAATGAAGACTCTGTTGGTGCCTTCACTGATGTGCCTGGCTAGCAAAGCACTCTGACTGAACCCAGCTGGAATCAGTGAGGAGCTGCACTGATACAGGGCATTTTTGTCCCTCTCATCACTGGGGTGTGCAAGGTCCCAGCAGCTCCATCGGCCCCGGCCGTGGTGGGTCGTTGATGCCTCCTGCTCCCTAAGGAGATTTCTCCATCCAGTCTAACAGGATGTCCAGCTCACCCAGGGATTTCATCGCTGCATTTGTGACATTCAGCTGAAATGGGATAAAGGAAGAAGCTGTGAGCACAGATAATGAGTACAAACCAACGTAAAGAGGATCTAAATATCTGTGTTAATCACCAGACTCAGGCACCAACTCACCCCTTCATAGTTTGCAAGTATTTGCTTAAATTTCTCAGTGGATTCCTGCCCACACATGCACTGATTTTGCTCATGCTAGAAAAATAAGATAAATTCGTTAGTTTGAGGAGTTACATTTAAAAATAATAGTTCAGTTTCTAATTATGCTGTAAATTATAGAACTGAGACCTTGTGAAACTGTGGGAAAGGCTGCAGGTCCCTGAATCAGACTTCAGCTAAGAACAGTTTACTTGACAGACACAGGGACAAGATAAATATTGTCCTTGAGGACCAACGTGGGAGTTTGTTTGCTGGTGAGTGGGCAAGCAGAGAAATTTCTCAGCGGCCAGAAACACTCTTCACATCACGCTGCTTTGTGTTCTCGTTGAAACCACTTGTATAAATAAAGACTTTGAACTTTATAAAGCTCTTGGGTTTGTTTATACACCAAATACTAACAGATGGAACTAAACTGCAGCAAAGAGACAAGACTTACACACTGCTCCAGTTTCCTCTTCATGCTGAGGAAGGAGTTGGCGATGCTGCTGATTTTTCGGTTCACATACGAATCCTCTGTCTTGCAGTGCTTGAAAACTTTGTCCACGTAGAAGTTGAAGAGGTGATGGGTGATGCAGCACCTGTCTGAAGACTTAAAGAACAAATTTCATTGTTAAAAGGTTATAAACCTGCAGCCACCAAGCCCCTCTCTAGAATAAACCACCTCTGAGAGGAAGCATGTTGTAGCTGAGCACAGCAGGACATTTTGATTCATATAAAGCTTCTTCAGTGCTGCTTGATTTATGCTTGTTATATATATATATGTGAAATTATTTTAGACTGCTTTTCCAGGAGATCCATCCTCAGGAAATCTCACAGAGTCAAGACAATAAACAGCTGATTTTCCAGCTGGGTGTTAGAGGCTGAGACCTGAAGCAGTGGCCAGTACCCAGTGCTTCAGGGTGTGAGAGAGCTGAAAAATGCTTATTTATAACATATTGCACCTCCCGAGACCACATTCCTCTGCTTTTGGATTCTTTAATGGCTTTTCACCCAAGGACACTCACGTTAACCTTGTGCAGGGAGTGGGGATGGGACAGGATGCTCAGGGTCCGGATGGGGTCTCTTGCTTGCTGCAAAGGAGAGCACAGAGATGGGGAAGGTTCCAGAGGGGCTTTGGGAGCTGCCAACTAAAGAGCTCCACGAGAGCCTGGAGAAATACTTACAATGTTGGCTTTAATTGCTGTGAAACCAGCCCTGATCTCAGTCATGCTCATGGAAACCCTGCAGGCTCCAAAATGCAGGATTTTGTTCTCAGCTGTGGGCATCAAATCCACCCAGCAGCACATGGAGAAGAGGTAGAGGAACAAGTGGGATCCCTTCATTTCAGCTGCCTGGGAGACCTGCTCAAGGAACACAGCATTGACTCGTTATCTTTGCTAAATAACACAATTGTGATATGAAAATATAAACATTTTATATAGCACTTGTAATGTACATCTCTATTAATAAAACCACACTGGGTAGCATCTCTTAGTCATGGGTTTTTTTACTCTTCATCAGCAAGAGAAAAAAAAAATCAAACCAAATCAAATATTTAATAGAAAAGCCCCAAGAGAAAACAAGGAAAAATAAATAAAATGCGAGTAAAAAAAAAAATTGCACGTAAATAGACATAGCTCTTCTGAAAAATATTTCACTGGAAAAATAAATATGGATATATATTAAATTTTTAAATGTCTACTAACTCAGAAGCAGCAGGAGGTAACTGTGACCGAAAGCAGCAGGTTCCAAAGTCAGATTCCCAAAGGAAAATGCTTTCCCTCAGGAATAACAGAAGTCAAACACAAGTTCTACTAGCACTGAAAATTAAGGTTATTAAGGAAAAAAACTATTTTAGAGACATGTTATAGGAATACAAGGAAATACCCACGAGCACATAGAGTAAAAGGATAAAAATCAGTGTTTTACCTTGTTCTTTGGTGTGGGTTCACCTGTCTCGACGATGTCTGACCTGGAGAGCTCCGAAGAACACGTTTTTATCCCGGTACCAGGAGGAAATAACTCTTGGATTAACTTTTGGGATTTTTCTTGCTTTTCCCGGCATGTATTTCCCTTTGTAATTTACTGAATTAATGAGCAGGGGAAAGGGACCAGTTCTCTCTCCCCCACAGGTGTTTTCCTCACCTACAGAGGCGGGAACTCTTGGCATCGCTGCGTCATTTTTCATTCGGGAAGAAGGATGTGACCAAAAGGAGGGACCATCATGGGCGTTGCATCCCTAAAATGCCAAGCTCAGGGGCTTCCCCAGCATGGAGCCAATGCTACCAAGTGATTCCTGGAGAGGGCCCCTTCCTGGCTTGTCACAGAGGTCTTGGGATGTGGGAAGTTGAGTGGCATCACCCCATGGTCCGAACACTCCAGGGCTTCTGGCACTGGACAAGGTGCTCTGGTAGAATAGCTGTGACTCAGGAAGTTGTCCAGACCTTTCTCCATCATTGTCCTGGCCTTCCCCTGCCAGGCTCAGGGAATTCTGCTTCCAGGCTCGTTCCTCAGGAGGGTTGACACTTATCTGCACTGTATGTCCCTGGAGAACAGGTACACAAGGTCAGGGATTTTGGATGGCACAGCTCCCACCTTGGTGGCAGAAGTCTCTTGGTCTCCAGGGTCACAGGTGACTTTGGTGATCATTATGCACAGTCCAAAGGTGTCACCCTACAGAGGGACAGAAATTTCACTCCAGCTTCTCAAAGTCCACCAGCCCAGCAGCAAAACAACAAGCCCATGATTACCTCACCCCAAGATTTCGCTGCTGAGTAAAACTGATGCAGGCAGGGTCCTCCAGCAGAGCAGACACATTCTCCCACCAACATTTCAGATCCAGGCTGCCCCCAGGGAGCCAGGGTTTGTCAGCTGGGGCATGCTGTCACATGAAAGTGGTACTACTGGTGCAAACCCCAGGCTGGTTCTCCTGTAACCCCTCTGGAGAGAGCCAAGCTCATTCTACAAACAAAAAGGAGCAGTTAAAAAAACTTCTTGGACTATCTGTGCCCGGGAAGGATGGTCAGGTGGACTTAGAGGGCATGAGGGTGGCAAAGTCACCTCTTTAATCCCACAGCCAACCTCCAGAGAAGGTTCCTGTTGAGAGCAGCAGCCCCAGCATGCACCTCTTGCAATGCAGGTGTATCTTGTGCCACTGCCTGTGGGCCAGGGCTGTTCTGTACAGTTTTGCTGGGTGACTAATTTATTGATAACCAAACATATATCCATCACCAGGGAAGACTAGGCAAATGGATTTTATGCCCAGGCTAGTCATAGTATTGCACAGAGCGTTGCTGAAACTGCCCCAAATGCACCCAACGTGCCTCCCTCCCGCTGCGCCTTCGCCCTGTAAATCATCCAAAGGGCAGGTCCAAATCTGCAGCAGGTTGCATTTGCCCCTGCTGAGGTGTTGGAGGGATCTGTGAAAGCACAAGGCTGTTAATCCCTCCCTTCCTCCCCCAGTTCCCAGCTGCTGCCTGTAATTGCAGCAAAAGTTTTGCTTGGAGCAGAGGAAGTGGCAGCAGCATTCCCAGGAGCCTGGTGCACACCCAGCCTGGATGAAGAAACAAGGGAAGGGATAATGAGTTCTTACTTCATTATGTAAATGGCAGATGACAAAAAGGGATTTCTTTTTATTTTTTTTTTTTCCTTTTGGTAACTGAGCTGGAGCTCACAATGGGTCAGTCGAGTGCCAGCAGGCAAGAAAGAGTCATGGGTTAAAGACTGCCAGGCAGGTGGAGGGGAGATTTGGGGTTGATATGGGAACAGGAGGGAAATGTTGTATTATCAGGGTCCAGGGCCTTGCCACAGACCTGGCTGGGTGTCCCTCAGGATGGTATCAACAGGGATCACAGAATGGTTTGGGTTGGAAGGGACCTTAAAGGTCACCTGGTTCCATCTCCTGCCATGGGCAGGGACACCTTCCACTAGCCCAGGTTGCTCCAAGCCCCATCCAACCTGGCCTTGGACACTTCCAGGGATCCAGGGGCAGCCACAGCTTCTCTGGGCAACCTGTGCCAGGGCCTCCCCACCCTCACAGGGAGCAATTTCTTCCCAATATCTACTCTAAACCTCCTCTCTTTCAATTTAAAGCCATCAGCATGCATTGGACCAAGTCCTGATGGAAGCAAATCACCTGGCTCTCACCTACCTACCAACTACAGCAACATGAAAATATCCTCAGTCAAACAATGAAACAACCATTTCTCCTTTGCTCTGGGAAGGAAGAGGAAAAAGAGAAATAGGGATTTCTGAAACTCAGCCGTGTGACGCTGCAGATGAGCTCAGACAGTAAAATGGGAAGAGACTCCCCCAGGCACTCTCAGAATAGTTAAACTTTTCGGGTACTGCAGCACTGGGAAGGGAGCAGGAAAGCGGTCCTGTCCCCAGGAACATTTCCAGGCAACTCCCGGCTAACGGGGGAGGGCTCCTCCCTCGGGATTTTATGGCAGGCACGTTATGACAGGGCACACTAAAAGTAGTTACAACCCGAAGAACAAGCAAAGGCAGCAGAGAGGGTTGTGAGCCAGCCGCCACCGCGCTCGGGAATTAAAACTAAGCCCCGTGTATCATTAGCTTATCTCAGAAATCATCTCTGCGGAGTGCGGGGCGAGCGGCGCAGCTCCTGCACCTCCCGCATCTGCTGCGCTGCGACTCAGAAAGGCACAAAAGGGGCTTGCGGGGTCGAAGGGAATGTCCCCAGCGCAGCTGGAAAATAACCCTGGGAGCATCCCCTGCCGGCTCTCGGCAGCTCCGGGACGGATATTGAGGCTCACCCTGCCCAGCCCCGCTGGCACCGCGCAGAGCTGGCACCGCTGCTGTGGCAACGAAACATCCCCACAGCGGCAAAACGCAGGAGACTGCTGCGGCCAACTGGAGTGACTAACAGGGCAGACAGTCCTGGAGAGCCCGGCAGCGTGACAGGAGACCAGACACTTCATCACCGGGTGCGTTGGGAAACTCAGCAGCAGCTCCCAGCCCTGCTCCAACGCAGGGAAGGGGAGTCATCCCTGTGCATCCCACCCATGTGGAGTTACTGCACTCCCGCTGCCTGATCCAGCCCTGACCCAGCTTAATTCATTTCAAATAGGTTTGTTTTATTCTAAAAAAAAAACCAGCACCAAAGCCTTAAAAGTATATCACCAAACTGTTCTGACCTCAAGGATCTGCTGTCAAGGACTGATCCCACAACACCCTCAACATTAGGTTTCCAGTAAAGTGTTTCAGAGTGATAAGGCACCAGTTTCAATAGTGCATTTCAATGCAGTTTCATGCAATAAGAAGTTCTGATAGCACTCTACAGTGTTGGTTGGTTTATCATTCTTTGTCATCACCCATATTTCACAGCAGCTTTAGGTAAACCATTGTTTCAGATCTGAGGGTGATAATGGTTTGTACACAGATCCCCGGACCTAGAGAACGTGAGTGACAGAAATGCTCTCAGAAATTTTAATAAAGGGGAAAATTAAGCGTTAATAACAACATCCAGCAGTAATATCTGAACTCAGGAACAATTCCTCATATCCTTCAGGAAAAGATCTGCAATATCCAACTTGGCCACATGAAACAAGAGTACTTCTAGGATGTTACACCTCTCCTTGTAATACTGTTGCTCATCAAAACCCCTGTCAAAGAATTGCAATTATTGTTCCACAGGCAGAGGAAAATGTTTCTACTTGTTTTGTATGCATTGGAGCAATTTCTTACACACTTGCAGTGGGGTAAATTCTGAGCCAGCCCTACCCTTATCATAGCTGGGAGTTAATGGGAAGGTGGGCTGCAGGGTGGTGCTGTGCTGTAGCTCAGAGTAGCTCTCAGCACCTTAAAAATCAAAGTTTCATTGTCAAGCAACCCGGAGCCAAAATCTCCTTTGAACAAGCGCTGATCTGTCACGATCCTCTTGAACCCATGGGCTGACACCAGCACCCGAGAGATGTCACCCATCCCAACATCACCGTTTTCACGAGCTCCTCACTGACACCCTTCCCTCTCTGGGATGGAAACGCCCTCTCCCAGCCCTGACAATCAGATTGCTCTTCTACTTTTCCCCCCTCTTAATTAGTGCAGCTCGTTATGGGCAGAGAGCCGGGCTGGGGCTGGGTGAGGGCAGGGCCGGCAGCCCCAGCCCTGCAGTGCTGCTGACAGAGGTACAAAAAGTGTTTTTCTCAGTAAACTCAACAAATGACTCAGGAAACTCCGCGAGGAGTTATCGGCTGAGAGGCGTGGTACATCGTGTACCCTCTCCTCAGTCACGTTTCTAACCATAACCACTCGAATAATTCTGAAGATCAAACACTTGAGTGCTGCCTCGTAGGGAGCAACAGGCTGAGCACGGCTCGGCTTAGGGAAATGTGATTTTTGTTCAGCCAAGCCCAAGAGACACCCAAAGCCATGGGAGCAAAAGCTCAGGCTGATTTCCAGGATCCCTTCCCTCAGGCTGGTTTCCAGGATCCCTTCTCAATTGGCTCTCTGTGCCCAGGATTCCCAGCAGTTTTAGGACCTCCCCTCAAGGGCAGAGCATCTCCTTTCCCGGTGCTGAGGGACTGGGCAATGTCCTTCATCCCAAAATAATGGGGGAATCACCCTGATTTAGGGCATCACCCATGATTGTCCCTCTGGGGCTCTTCCTGCCACTGTGGGTTACCAACAGCCCAGTCCAGGTGCACGACTCCCCAGAAAGGGGACAGTGCCACGTTGCCCAGGGAGCATCACTCCTCTGCTGTGGGTGACCTTGGCATCACCTCATCCTCACTGGCTGTCCTTGCTCATGGTCAGCTCCCAGCTGGGCAGGGCTGCACATCACAGCAAATGCCACCTTGCCAGCCACCGCCCTCAGGGAGCAGATGTGACACTTGTCTGCATGACTCACCAGTGCCAAGGCAGGATTTCACCCAAAGAGGGTAAAGAAATCGCAAGAAAAAAAAAAAAAGTGCTTTTTTTCTTTTTTTTTTTTTTTTTTTCCCCTCCACCTCTAAGACTCACCTTTGTGGAAGAGGAAAAGCGTGGTGGAGGATCTTGTACATCAACATCTCTTCCGCAGAAAAGCGTCGATTTAGTCACCGGGGTGGGGGGTGTTGAAGGTTAGATACTTGTTTCCCCTGCTTCGATAAAACATGAACTCATATTTTGGTTATCATAAATGGCATCTTCCCCAAAGGGAAATGAACATTTCATGTCTTTAGAGTTAAATAATTACAGCTCAAGAGCAGCTCCTGGAAGCTTTTTTTTTTTTTTTAACTATCCAGCACTTGGTTTTCAGCAGCCACCTCTGCGTCCAGGTGACTGGAGACAAAGTGCCCCTGGGCTCAAAACCGGGGCAGTTCATGAGCTGTGGGATGCCAAGGACCAGCCCAAGGCAGCTCAACAAACCCCTGCTCAGTTCAGGGACTGTCTGGAGAATTAAATTAATCTTGGGGAAATTTTCATCCCAAAACTGCAACAGCTCAGGAGTCATCCAAGACGCTTAGAAGATGCTACTTAGGTACATGCAACACTTTTGTGATCAACTCATAGAATCATGGAATGGTTTGGGTGGGAAGGGACCTTAAAGCTCATCTTGTTCCACCTCCTGCCACGGGCAGGGACACCTTCCCCTAGCCCAGGTTGCTCCAAGTTTATCCAACCTGGCCTTGGACACTTCCAGGGATCCAGGGGCAGCCACAGCTTCTCTGGGCAACCTGTGCCAGGGCCTCCCCACCCTCACAGGGAAGAATTTTTTTCCTAATATCCAATCTAAACCTACTCTCAGCTTGAATCTATTTATTTCAACAAGATTTCCCAGTCAGAGAACAAAATTTTCATGTTGGTTTTTAACTCTTTTTCCCCACCACGTGAAGCAAATTGGTTATTTCAGCAAAAATTGAGGCACAGTTGCCTGAAAAGAACTTCTCTGCCTTTGAAGGTCAACAGAAGGACCCAGGAGAGAAC